AGTGATGACGACATAAGAGAGCCCTTCTGGGCCTGGCTCCCATTGTAGAGTAGGGCGGGGAATACAACAGGAGTGATAAAGCAGTAAGGAGGGAACAGGGTGTTGGGGTGTGATGCTTGGAGGATGTTGGAGGACAGTTTGGTGAACGTTGGTTTCCTCACTTAAACAGGGATAAAAGACCAGTGCAGTCAGTCTGGCATTCTTTATCCTGATGAAGCTCTTTGGGGCTGTGGCCTTTGCTTTTCCTAAGAGACAGGGAGCTGACTGGGTTCTGAGACTGGCTCACACCTGTACTCCCTGTAGTTCTCAGTTGTTGTTTCCATGTGTCCAACTGGGAGAGTTTCTTGCCAGGGACTCATGTTTCCCGGTATTGCCTGTTTCTTTCCTACCTGCCAGAGTATAGAGTTTAGACCATTTTTTTTAATCCACTACTCTGGAGGCTCTCTGCCATGGAAAGTATAGACATTTAGAAGAAAGGTAGCCCTAGTATGAGATTCCATTTGAATCCAGAGTGATGAGGTTTTTACTGGGCATCAGGTCTACTTACTGTCTTCATTCAGTGTGTAGCTTCAGTCTGAGCCAGAACGATGTGGTCATCCTTTCCTTCTGTTCCCTTCCACAGTATCAGTGGGCTGGGTCGCAACATCATCCTCACAACCATGCCAGCAGGTACTAAGCTCATTGCTGGCAATAAGCCAGTGAGTTTCCTTACTGCCCAACAGCTGCAGCAGCTTCAGCAGCAAGGTCAGGCTACACAGGTAAGGCCTAATGCAGACGGTTGACCATCTCAGGCTTGTCTGTTTTCTTTGCTTTACTTAACTGATGTGCCTACTTGCAGTTCACTGATCAGACCTCCTCTCTTTGTAAGCAGGTGCGCATCCAGACTGTTCCTGCATCCCATCTCCAACAGGGCACAGCTTCTGGCTCCTCCAAAGCAGTCTCCACTGTTGTTGTGACCACCGCCCCATCTCCTAAAGAAGCACCTGAACAACAGTGACTGAAAAAGAGGCAGCTTTAAGAGACCAGGCCTCGTGCATCTCGGCTGATAGAAAGGGAGCAGGGATGCTGCTTCGTTTCTCTGAGCTCTCCTGCTTGAGGCAGGGTGGTGGAGGGTGTTGGCAACTGTGGCCTAGATTCTGCAGCCACACTCCAGAATGAAGCCCTGACAAGGTTCCATTTTAGGGTTCCAGGGCTGCTCTGTCTAGCTCAAGAGAAGAGAACATCAGAATCATGGGAGGTCACAGTCACACAAGCCACAGTTACCTCCTGAGTGTTGGATGCCCAGGGAGCAGGCCTGTCAGCTGGTGAGCAGGCCAGCAGTGAATAACCCTCATTCTGTGTGAGGATTTTACTTTTTAGTTTTTGATCCTCTTGGTGATTTGTCCAGATGAGTTTTGTGTCCAGAAAATTTTGTGTAACTTATTTTTTTAAAGAACTTACTGTGCATCTTTTATCAAATAGAAATCGGGCTTTAGTGCCCCTAAACTGATCTCTTACTCCTTTGGCCAGAATGAGAACCTAACAAGACTCTTAACAGGTTGGTGGCTTACTTGGTAATGAGAGGTTGCATAGTAGGGAAATGTAGGCCATTAGTTAGCCTGGATCCCCTCAAGTGAGACTAGTTTGGTACCACTTACTAGAGATGGGTGTTGGGGTCTTGGTTGTCCCTGTATCTTCACTTGTGGGCATTGTCCTCGGCAAGCCTGTTCACGTGGAAGTTCAGAGCTGTTGAACAAGAGAGTAGGGGATGCCAGCCAAGGTGCTGCTCTCACAGTGCACTTGCTTACAGCCCAGAGACTGCACATTCTGTTTGCTGTAGAACAGCAGTTGCAAACCAGACCCTTGAAGCTGACCACCTGATTGTAACATCGAAGAAATGGTGGAGGTGGGGACAGCATTAGGCTCTACTTGGCAATGCCAGCTTCAGGAGAAGGAAGTCTTGAGTTCGCAGATTTTATTCCTGGCCATTTCACACTTGTCAGTCGCCACCAGCCACAGCCAGCTCAGAAGGATGCTCTTTAAAGTCCTACGTCCTTAATGCACTGGTCACACCTTACATGTCCTGCTGCCTGTGCAGGCAGGGGTGGGTGGGAAAGCCTTTCTGTAGGGATAGGGCTTCCCTGTCTCTTTGTGAAAGTGTCCAAATTATTAAAAATGTGTCTTTAATCTCTGGGCCTTTAATTGTTTTCTTTTATGGGGAAGTAGAGGTAGGGGCCACATTGAGTGGAAACAGCCTGAAACTGGATTATTTAGCAAGTTGCTGAGAAACAGAAAAGAGTAGTTTTGGCTACAGAGTGACTTTACAGTTACATTTGCTTCTTACAGCAATTTTGTCAATTGGAATTGTCATCCCTCTTTAATAGTGAGAAGATAAAATCTGAATGGAAATTGGAGAAAACTAAGAGGAGCACCTGGGGCCTCTTAGTGGGGAGAGAGCACCAGCTAGCATACTAGAGGCCCGAGTTGGAATCCCAGTACTCCTAACGTGGGTGGTAGAGTCACATGGGCCTGTAATGTAATCTCTAGAGCCTGAAGCTGGAGGATTAGAACTTCATATTCATGCTTGACTCACTTCAGCTGGCTAGAGGTCCCTTGATGCTACATAAGAAAAGTTAGGTTGTCCCAAGTTAGGTCCCCTGTGTGCTGTGTTCTTAAGGAAGACTCACCAGGAGGTGTCCTGGTGAAACTGGAGGATAATTTGAGTTGGGTGGTATGCCTGGCTCTCAAACCACAGGTGACAGGATGAGGAGAAATCGTACTCTTGATGGGTGCCTAGTGGACTGGCATGGGAATTGACAGATGATGAAAAGTGGGAGGGCTATAGTGAGGGGCTTATATTTCACACAGAAAGCGATATGATAGTTTCTAGACAGCAGTAAGAGGAGGTGGGAGATACTCTCTCAGATATTGACTGTTGGCTAAAACCTCTTCTGATTTTACTTAGCAAATCTCATAAAAGTATCTTTTGCATGGCTTCAGAGCTATTTCAAACTTTGTACATGCAGATACATTGGATATGTTGTATCCTAGAGAGCACAGATTTAAAATACAGGCTTATCTCATGATGCCAGTTTGTGGGGTTGACTCCCCAGGAGGTCTAGTTTTGGTACTTCCTATTTTATTGTTGGAATAATACAGGTTAGATACTTCCTACTGGAGTTGCCTACAGCAACAGCAAAAGTATTTTAACATGTGCTTCTTCATATGTAGGCCTCAAGAGGTTCCAGGCATGCAATGGGGCAGCTGTGGTGGATGTTTTGCTGGGAACAGTTCTTGCAATACAGTGGTATCATTGATCCTACGAACTTCTGGTGGACAGATTGGTAAAAATTATTCAGATCATGTATCCAAGACAGGATTTAGTGAAAGGACTTAAGACTTATTTTTATCCATATGTATCTGTGTGTTTGTATGAATATATGTCATGTATGTGTGGGGACTGGTGGAAGTCAGAAGTCATCCAGATGTGGGTGCTGGGAACTGAACTCTGGTCGTCCAGAAGAGCAGGAGATGATCTCCAGCCCCATGACTTGTACTTTAACAGTGTTGAGAATGCTTTGCCAGGGCTTGTCTTTCAATGAAGGTATCCCAAAGTACTGGTTAGAGATACAAAAGTACATTTTAATATTTTATATTTAAGAGATGTATGTCAGTTCCCTCAAGAATACTGTTTCTTTGTTCTGCCAATATAAAAAGTCTCAAGTGCATCATTTTCTATGATAATAAAATACGAAATAAGTTCCTTTTCCGACCTGGACCTGAGGAAAGAACAAATTTTGTCTTGTTGCTGATAAATGGGTCTTAAATATTTGCTGAATGGGTTGGGTTACTGCTCGGCTGACAAACCAAGGGCACCCTTGGAAAGGGAGCCCAAAAATTTTCTAATACTTACTGTTTTCACATTATTCTTAGTCCCTACATGTGACTTTGTGCAAGACCAGCTAGCTAGCTAACCTGAAGAACTTCATAAAGTATTTCTGTTGGTTATTTGTGAAGGAACTGGAAAGTAAAAAATCTACAAGGCTTTCAAGTCACAGTGTTGATGGGTTTTGCCAGTTTGTAGCTATTTGACCTTACGCTGACCAACCTTGTGAGGCTGTCACGTGCTTAAATTACCAAGGGTTGTGAGGATCCACTGGAATGGAGCACATCCCAGCATCACAGAATACTGTACATGGAAAGTGTTATTCAGTCTTGAAGACCTTTCAACTTCAGTCAGCACAGAAGCCCTTTATATACAGGAAGTAATGTGTATGATAGTTCTCCATGCTTTATTATGACTTTGTATATATTACCTTCTATGTATGCCTGGTGTATCTTTTTAAAGGGCCAACTCCTAGTTTCTCCTCTGTGCCTTACTCTGTTGTTTGTATATAGTTCTTTCTCTCTTTTTTTTTTTTTTTTGATTTACTTTAATTTTAAGCCTGTAGGTGTTTTACCCTCAATGTATGTTTGTGTGCCTAATGCCCTGGAGGTCAGAAAAAAATAGCAGATCCCTTAGAACTGGAGTTCTAGACAGTAGTGAGCTGCCATGTGGGTGTTTGGAATCAATCTTGGGTCCTCTGGAAAAGCAGTAAGTGTTCTTATCTGCTGAGTCATCACTCCAGCCCCTGCACTTCTGTTTTTGTTTGTTTGTTTGTTTGTTTGTTTGTTTGTTTGTTTGTTTGAGACAGGGTTTCTCAATGTAGTCTCTGGCTGTCCTAGTACTCAATTTGTAGATCAAGCTGTCTTTAACTTCTTGTCTCTGCTTCCCAGCTGTTGGGATTAAAGACGTGCGCCACCACAACCCAGACTGCCTCTGTATGTAACAGTGCCCATCACACTGCCTATTAATGGTCTCAGGAGTTCTCTCTTATATTATACTGTCAATTCCTTGACGGACATCTCATTAATCCTTGCAAACATTTCAGTGCTAGAGCAAAGTGAATGTTTAGTAAATACTTATTGACTATTATAAAAAAAATAAACCCCACAAAATAAAACATGTCCAGAATCAATAGTACAGTATCAAGTCTATATATTAAGAATTCAAAATCCTTACCCTTTGGTTTTAGCTGGTTTAAAATTGGACGCCTTTCCTAACCTGATTTTTTTCTTCTGTATCTAGGAGGTACAGACTTGCTATATAATGTTCCTCAATGGGATAATGTTCAGGAATCAGACTGGAGTTTCAACTCTCAGCTGCGCTATGAACTAGCTACTCAATTTAAGAAAACTATCTTTCACCTAATTTTATCTCTAATCAAGGCTCAAATGCAGTGCTCTGGTATGACTTACTGGAGAATGTTTTAAAAAGTTAGCACTTAAAATACCAAAGCTTGTGAGTTTTGTTATTTAAAAGACACATTAGGATTTGGGCTCTGAATTGAAGGCACTGCACTGTCATCTACGAAGTCCCGATACATTTCTGAGAAGAAAGTACCCGTGAGATTGAGGGGGGGGCAAGTTATCAGAAGTAGCGCGTGTGAAGTCCTCTCACAGTTTACTTCATCCACATGTCACTTCTGTTGTGGGCGTTCCAATCCTACAGAAAGTTCTCTACAAGAATAGGCTTGCTACTAAAAGGTGTTCATTTTTCTGTATGAATGGTATTACTCTACTACAGACTTTACAAGTTGTTATGCTTGAATATCCAAATAGCATGGTACATAAAAACACCTGAGCTCTAATTTCCTGTATTTGAGCCTCTAGCTTTGTATTTGGTGAGGAATGCAAATATGGAGCCCTTAGAGCACACTAACGCAAGCCTAAAAATAGAGGGGACAAGCTTCATTCCAGCTATTGTTCACAAAGCATGTGAGGTCTGAACTTCCTTCCCCAAAGCCTGGTGTCACTCCTCATCGGAGCCACTCAGAAGGGCTGACTGGTAAGTGTGATCAGACTTCAGCTTCTGGATCCCAATGATTTCTCCTTCTGCATGCCTCTTCACCCGAGTCAGGAAGCTGTAGCAGACATAAGAACCATTAAATTAGCCACTAAAGTCTTCCGCTCACTAACTCTGTGATACAAAACAATAGCAGGGCCTTGAGTGTCTGTTAAATGTGGTGAGAGCATGTCTACACACCTGACTTCTCAGGATTCTATTCATAGTAGACAAATAGAATCAGTGGTAACTAGACTTAGGCCTCTTGCCATCTAGCTATTTTACTGACCAGAAAGTAGAGCTGGAACAAACTCCTTTTGGGGGGGGGGGTATCCTCTGGGATGAAGTATATCTCCTTTGAGTCTAGGGAAATAAGACGGGGGTGGAGGGGCAGAGTGGGGGGGAGGAGGCAGGGGCAGTTTCCACAGCAATAGGCCTCCATAATAACACATACTCAGTTTTATTTTCCATTTAGCAGTTGGTCAAATTACTCAGCCTTTTGAAGCCCTTTTACTCCGTTTGTTAAAAACAAAACAATACATAGTAATGAGAGTTAAAGGCATCAACGTGTGCCTGGGACAGTAAGTGCAGGGAGTCAATAGTTCTTATAGTTTATATTAAAAGGTAATTAGAAAGCACCTTCTGCTCTCAGATATATTTTGATGTCTATATATTTAGGAAGTAAAGCAAAACAAGTCTGAAAGTAGGTGATGGGTCCAACCAAACCAGTGACAGTAGGGACTTCAGTCCAGACAGATTTCTGGCTTGAGGGTTTCCCTATTATGCACCAGCTTACAGTCTGTTCAAACTGTACTGGGAACCTAGGTTTAGCGTGACCCAGCCCGGCAGTTTTAATGTAGCAGGGTGGTAACTGCACCTACAGATGAAGAATGCCTTGTGCAGAGTTAGCGTGAAGTTGGCAGTAAACGTACATACCAGTAAACGAGAGTGTAATTGGTGGCTGTGATGAAAAGGGCAACCAGATAGTGCCAGCAGAAGCACATGGTGATGAACATGACGTTGTCCATGTCTTTCTGGTCCCATTCTGGAGTTCCAAATGGGGGGAACAGGACAAATCCGATCTGGAGGAGCAGAGGAGAAAGTTTCTGGTTGGTTGAGCAGCAGCCTGGTCATCTCCATGGCCTGCCCAGTGACATGTTCTACACTATCTCACAGCTCCTGCATGAGTTACACCAGAAGCTCTATTCACACAGCAAAGTTAAGTTTGGTCATTGTATAGGATAATTCAGAAATAGCTAAACTTTAGGATTTGCATTTTATGTGAGTACTTTAGTAAATACAGAGTACCAGCCAGTGTACCAGCAAGCTATTAGTGGAGATAAACTGCATAGGTCAAAGTGTGGTGTGGGGATGAAAACGTCATCTCGACTAGCTACCATACTCATTCCCATACCCCTACGACATCTGCTGTATTTTCAGGCAATACGTCATTTGGGGATGGCATTTCCAAGGGGGCTTCTCAACCCAGACCATATGAGGAGCTTGAGTGTGGATGATCACCTGCCAGAACCAGGTCCCCTGGAAAATAAGGAGACTGGTTCGGAAAAGCTCCAGCACAATGTTATCCCGAAAGAACACCTCCAGGAAGATACTGACACTGGCTCCAAACAAACCGAACAGAAGAAGTGAGTGGATGTGCTGGTCCAGTGGAGGTCGGTTGTGAACGTGGAAGTAGAAGAGAAAACCTGTTGCAAACCAACGATAGCCATCAGAAACTTGCTGCTTTCTACTTAAGATCCATTCTGGCCTTTCCCAGTTACTGGGGTTTTCCCCCCTATACTTGTGTCAAATCAAGATTCCTCAGCATTCGGGAAGCCAGTTTACATGACATCACTGGCAGCAAGCACATGCAGACTGTTCATTTTGTGGGCCCGTGGAGAATATCAAAGAATGTGTCTGTAGAGTCCATCTAAAGCGGTACAGAGTGGGTGTCATAGGTCAGCTATGGTGCTGATTTGTAAGAAGTTGGATGAATGAGTGAACAAACATGTACATGTAATGTCTTGAGAATTGATTTCCTGAGGAAGGGGATATATGTTAATATTTCTCATCTTTCAAGTTTTGATCTCATAAATTCAACTTGTCCATTTTTCTTTCCCTTTCTCCATCCAAGTTACCTTCATTGAATACTGCCATAGCCAAAACTAGTCTGTCTACCCCCAGGGGCACAATGTTGAAGTAAAGGTAGGTGAGCATGTCGATGATTCCTGAGATGCCAAAGAACAGGTACATGGTGCTGTGCTGCCAATTCATTAGCTTCGTCCATTGATTTTCATGGTAGAGGTGGAGGTGAGGGCCATCTGGAACAAACTGCTCTGCCAGGATCCCTGCCAGAAAGTAAAAGTGAAAACTGAAGTGAGAAAGGTGTCAACAAGACAAACATCAGAGAGCAAAGATTGCCTGAAGATGTGAGCCAGGTCCAGATATGGGTGACAGTGGCCCACAGGTCAGCAGACTGCAAAACTACATATAAAAGTTTCTGAGAAGCCTATGAAAACACCTTATGCTCCTTCAGGGTCTGAGGATGCAATGATAGGAATAGAACACACTGACCTCTGGGGACTCTGATCCCCAGCAGAGAGAGAACAGAGCATTTCCCCTTAGTTGACAGTGTGACCGAGACACTGATCCTTTGTTGTGGAATATTACTTGAACTAGGCAAAGATGCATTATATTTGTTTAGGCTGTGTTGGCTTCACTATGTGAAGATGTGTTGCTTTTTACCTTACCTGCCTAGGGCACCTGATTGGTCTAATAAAAAGCTGAACAGCCAATAGCTGGGTAGGAGAGGGATAGATGGGGCTGGCAGGCAGAGAATAAGTAGAAGGAGAAACCTAGGCTTGAGAAGGGAGATGAGAATGAAGGAAAAAGAGAGGTCTCCAGCCAGCAGACATGGAGTAGCACATACAGAATGAAAGAAAGGTAAAGAGCCCCAAGGCAAAATGTAGACGAAGAGAAACAGTTTAAGTTAAATAATATGAGCTGGTGGGGACAAGCATAAGATATGACTTAGCATTCATAATTAATAATGTCTCCATGTCATGATTGGGGAGCTGGTTGGTGACGCAAAAGAAAGCCTGCTACAATCATAGGACTATGTATCAGTGAGCAGGGCAGAGATCCAAGAGAATGAGGCTTACGGATACTGAGGACTGATGTGCAGACCTGAAAGAGGGAAGCAGCTCCGGGCTCTGTGTTGGGGCTGCCATAGAGTGGGTGCCCTTCCTTAGCATAGCCCTGTGTTTAAAACATGGAGCAATGTGAGGCCTCACAGTTTCCAGCCATGGTACTTAAAGAGAGACAAAAGTGAGGCCAGGTTGATGAACCTGCTTTTGGGGCAGCTCATGGTTCTTGTCACTCTCTCTCTGCTTTATTTAGTTTTTGCTTTTTTAGAATCTCACTGTGGGCTGGCCCTAAGTTTGCCATCTTGTTGACTTTCAAGTGCAGGGATCACAGCCTGTACCACTCATGGTTTTAGTCCATTCTACTTTTTATCACCTTTAAAAGGCAGATTCGCCTTTATTCTTTGTATCTAAAATATTTGGGGGAACCCTGGAAGTCGTTCAGATTTGTATTCACCTCTAAGGGGTCAGGAAGTTTGTGAAACCCTGTGAAGTGGGAGACTATGTGTGATTCCTCCTGTTTCCCAGTTCTCAGAATACTGAGTTGCTAGTATCTGGAAGGAGCACTGAATCAGTGTCACTTGCCAACGAGAATGGCAAGTAAAATTTAGCTGTTTTTTTTCTTTTGGTTTTTCAAGGCAGTATTGGCTGTCCTGGAACTCACTCTGCAGACTAGGCTGACCTTAAACTCACAGAGATCCAACTGCCTCTGCCTCCTGAATGCTCAGAGACGGTTTAAAATCTTTTTTATGAAAAGGCAGCTTTGATGCTTCCTTTATTAAGATATGAGTGGTCTTCTTACTTGTCAGCTCCACAAAGAGCTGTTGATGCCTGAAAGAAGTCTTGGCTAGACCTGGCTGGTGTTTGTAAGTTTCTTTTGCAGGAGGGAGTTAGTGTCATGGTTTCATGCCCAGATGATGGTAGGTCAAGGACAAGTGGCAGATGCAACCTGAGAATAAGCTCCCTCAGTAGCCTTAGGAGGTGTGGCTCCAGAAGGATCCCTTGTTACTGTTGTCACCGCCCATCCCCGAAGAGCTGCTGCAGTGGGAGATTTGATGAGAAAGAGGCAGGGTTAAAATACCCTTCAACCACAGCTGACCTGAACAAGGGGTAGCTCATGGACCCCAGACTGATGATCCAGACCCCTTGAATGTGGGTGTCAGTGAGGAGGCCTTAGCATTCTTTGGGGCCTCCAGTACTAGATCAGTATTTATCCCTGGCATCCAAATGGACTTTGGGAGCCCATTCCACATGGAGGGATGCTCTCTCAACCTGGACACATGGCGGGAGGGCCTAGGTCCTGCCCTGGATGATATGACAGACTTTGGAGATTCCCCATGAAGGGCCTCACCCTCCCTGGAGAGTGGAGTGGGGATTGAGTGGGGGTTTGGGGGGGCTGGTGGAGGGTAGGGGTGAGAAAGGGAGCTGGGATTGACATGTGAAGCAAGCCTGTTTCTAATTTAAATAAAAATAAATACATAAAAAGGCAAAAAAAAAAAAGATCTCCTTCAACCTTCCTGTTGCCTGCCTCCTTGTGGGTACCCCTCTTGGCAAATGCTTGCTACTTGTGGATGGAAAACATGCCAGTGAGGTGGTTGTTAACCACTCTGAGATCTAGAAAGAGACTGTTTGGGGAAAGATTATTTATTTTAAACTAAATCCTATTTAGTGCTTTCCATTGCTTTAAAAAGTTACCACCCCTCCATTTTTATTTGTATTTTCTTATTTTCACATAGTATTTGTTCTGTCCCTGCAACTTCTGTAGGGCAAAAACTATGGTTTATTTGGTAGTTTTTCATAGTGTATATAATGTAAGGGCCTATTGGCTATTGACATAAAGCTTTTTACACAATGGTAGTAAATTAAACAGACTAGCAGTCATGTAAGATCTTAACCTGTTATCCATGCTAGAAGACATCTATTTCACAGGATTCAGGAGATAGGTTGAAGGCTCTGGGTGTGAGAGGAGACATGGTAGACAAAATTCTGTTCTTACCAATGACTGCAAACAAAGTTTTGATTGCACCTTCAATCATCTCGATACGCTGCTGCTGCTGGCTCAGTCTGTTCTTCTTCAAGCCCTTTTGATGAAAGTACTTCAGTGGGTACTTCACTGACCACCATAGCCCAAATATCAGAAAGAAACTCCCTGGGAGAGCGTGGCCCTTGAAGTTTGCCATGAGTGTTTTAGGACACCTAAAAGATGGAGACAATTAGGTAACTGAGTGATGAAGATATAAATACACACACACACACAAACACACACACATATAAATACACACATATATATAAATAAATACACACACATATATAAATACACACATATATAAATACATACATATATATAAATACATACACACACATATCCCTGTGTGTGAGAGAGACAGGGGTGGGGTAGGGGGGAGGTGTGTGTGTGTGTGTGTGTGTGTGTGTGTGTGTGTGTGTGTGTGTGTGTGTGTGTGTGTAGAGGTCAGAGAGCAACCTCAGGTATTGCTTCTCAGGAGTACCAACCACCTCATTCTATGACAGGGTGTCATTGGCCTGGAACCCACTATGCTAGCCAGGCCAGCCAGTGAGCTCTGCAGATCTGCCTGTCTCCCTAGCACTCTGATCACGGGGATATACCAACATGCTCAGCTGCTTTACAGGAATGAAAAGTCTTTCTACTCCATATGTAGTTTGAACCCGTCATGGTAGTACATTGCATGTCTATAATCCTAGTACTTGGGAGGTAGAAGCCAGAGGATTAGGAGTTCAAGATTATCCTCACCTTCCTAGTAAATTAAAGGCCAGCCTTGGTACATGAGATCCTGCCTCAAAAAAAAAATCCCCTTCATATTTTGGCAAGAAACAAACTAGATTTCAAATTATGAGCCACACCAACAAGGATCAACTCTTTATGTGAAAAGCCTTTAAATCAGCATAACTTGGGGATAGAGAGAAAACCACTGACTGGCCCTGGGGCTGTGTTAAAAAAAATGGTGTGGGAGAAATGGAAGACCGGTAAGTATTGAGTTTAGTGGAAAAATACCTTTATAGGCATAGATGTGAAGAGGAAGTTTACTCTGTAAGCATTTTTTTATGTCAAAAAGGTGAAAAGGGAGCAGGTGAGAGGGCTCAGCAAGTTAGGGTATTTGTACCGAGCCCATGACCTGCGTCCAATCCTGCTGGAAGAAAACCACTCCCACAAGTTGTCTCCTCCAAATGCACACCATAGCACATATCCATGGAAAACATGAGTGTAATTTAAAAAATGTAAGAGCTGGAATGGTAACAAATCAGGAAACTGGCATCTATACAATGGAAGTCAGTTACATTATAAAGCCCTTACACATTTTTTCAAGTTCAAGGAAATTTATTTTGTGTGTGTATGCGTGTTTTGACTGCATGCGTGTCTAAAAGAAAATCTGATTCTCTGGAACTGGAGTCAACAGACAGTTGTGAGCTGCCATGTGGGTGCTGGAAATCAAACCCAGATCGCTGGAAGAGCAATCAGTACTCTTAATCGTTGAGCCATTTCTCCAGCCCCTTTACAAATTATTAAGGACAACCAACAAGAGACACAATTTACAACAAAAACAAGCTGATGGTTGATCCAGGGATTGTGTAAGTGCAGGCAAAATGCCGTGTCTGCACAACTGGGAAGGTGTGTTATTAAAACTCAGACATGATGTGTTTTTATCCCACTTATCAAACGATGAGTGCTAGCTAAGATTTATCCTGAAGAAAGTGTTATTTTTTCCCTAGGAACATGAAGGATGGGAGAAAGAATCTTGACACAGGCACGCAGGCTCACTGTTCATGTTTACGATGCATAATGAACAAACAATTCTTGACGGTTTAAATTCCTCAGAACCAGCAGTGAAGCTCAACATTTTGGTAAATTCCTGCTCTAATCCTCCCTCTCCATATTACCACTTTCTCTGTGACTGTCAGGGGTTGACAGGGCATCCCCCTACCTGGTCTTTTAACCAGGACAAAGGAAATTTCTCCGTGTCTCATACAGACCCTTCTTGAATGTCTTTGCTTCCTTTAATGAAGTAGATTGTTTAGCCATTGCTGTCACTGTCATTTTATTCTTAAGATGGGGGCTGCTGGGTGGCGGTGGCAGAACACTCTTTAGTCCCTGCACTTGGGAGGCAGAGGCAGACGGATCTCTGAGTTCAAGGCCAGCCTGGTCTACAGAGTGAGTTCTAGGACAGCCAGGGCTACACAGAGGTCCCCTGTCTGATGGGTCAGGGTGTGATTGGAGCTGTGACACACACCTGACTCATGCCCTGTACTGTACTGCCAGGCATGGTGACTGGAGTGGTGGGGTGGGACTGTTGACTCAGCAGGGGGCCTCTTTCCATCTGGTTTCTTGTTGTTGGACTTCTTGGTTTGTTCTTAAATTGATTTTCTGATTTCTTTATCAGTCTGTTCTACTGTAGCTTACCATGCGTCCTAAAAGCAGTTATTTGGAATTGTGTTCTGGTAATTGATAATGCTCCATTTCTTTGGAATGGCTTTTGTGTGGTGCTGCTATGTTTCTTTGTCATGCTAAGTTTTCTCTTGCTTTCCTACATTTGAAGAATCAGTCACCCATTGGCTTCATTGACTGTCTTTGGGAAATGAATGCCTTCCCCAGGCAGTCTAGCTCCTCATATTCATTCATTCATTCATTCATTCATTCATTCATTCACATTCTCTCTCCCATATCTCCCTCTCTATTTTCCCCCTCCTTTTCTGTGCATGATGTATTTACATGGGTGTACAAAGGCCAGAGGTCAATGTTGGTTTGCTCCTGCTTCCTCTCTCCTCCTCTCCCCCTCATTTCCTCCTTTCTTTTCTCTCTTTCTCCTCTCTCTTTTCTCTCCTCTCTCTCAATAAGGCTGGGGAATCTTGCAAAAATAGGCAGATCATCTTAGGGGGAACCTTTACCAACTCAAAAATTCATCTCACGTTAGCAGTGAGGACTCAAGTCTCATGCATCACTCCACCAGGTATTGTCTATACTCATAAGTTTAAGATAGCCCTTTCTGGGTTTTTTTTGAGACACAGTCTGTCTTCAAACCTGGAGTTCACAGTTTTAGCTAGTCTGGTTGGCCAGCAAGCACCCAGGATCCACCTGTTTCAGTCTCCGGTGTTGGGGTTGCAGACAATGTCCCATGCTGGCTTGTATGTGGTTGCTGTGGTTCACACCTAGGTGCTCACGTCTGCAGCACAAAAACCTGAACAACTGAGTCATATCCGTAGCTCCTGTATGACTGCTTTCTACCCTGCAAAGCCAGGCAAAGCACTAGGGTTTCCCTGTTTGTTCTCCTTAGTTCCCTGACGTGCTGATGTTTGTAGAGTGATTCTGAACCTATGCCTAAGCCCAACAAAAACTTTAAAATCACTTAAAACATGAAGATTTAAAATTTTTTCTCTCATACAAAATATCCCAATCCACAGTTTCCCTACCCTCCTCCCGGTCCCCCCCCCAGATCTACCACCCCATCTCCTCCCAAAAAAGAGCAGGCCTCCCAAGGACGTCAACCAAACAGCACAATATACAATAAGACCAAGCACAAACCCTCACATCAAGGCTGAGCAAGGGAACCCAGTAGGAAGAGAGGGGTCCCGAGAGTATGCAAAAGAGTCAGAAACACCCCCACTCCCGCTGCTAGTAGTACCACAAAAACACCAAGTCAACAACCATAAGATATATGCAGAGAACCTATCATAGACCCAGGCAGGCTCCAAGATCGCCGCTTCTGTCTCTGTGAGTACCTATAAGCCCTGCAGTTGATTTCACAGGCCATGCTTTCCCAGTGTTCTCAACCCCTCTGCTTCCCACAACTCCTGCCTCTCCCAAGTGCTCTACCACTGAACTAAATCTCCAACACCTTCCCCCTTTAAAAAAATTATTCTATTGTCTTTTGTGGGAAATGGGGTAAGTCCTGAGTGAATGCATATTGTTTACATGAGCAAGGCCTTTTCAAGGACCCCAGTGCCTTGGATGCATGGGAATGGCTTTCCCCTGCTCTGTGTGTGGATGCTGACTACAGAAAGTACGGTTCACAGCTTCCTCCTCCCAGGCATTTACAACCTTAGATTGTTCCCCCACAGAGATCTAGTTAAACCCACTTCCTTGTTCAGCTGTGTACAATAACCCTACCCCTCCTCCGTTCAGATGTGTAAAATAAATGAGCTGAGTTTTCTGGCTACTCTTGGTACAATTCCATCAGAGCACATGGCCCACGAGGTCCAAGCTTTTCTGTATGGGTGTCATTTCTTCATTTCCCATCACCCCAGTTAGATCAGGCTCTAAGGCTGTGCAAGGTCATGGCACTTTTGATGTTACTAAGTTACTTTCTGATTAAAAAAATCAATCATTATGCCAGGCGTTGGTGGCGCACGCCTTTAATCCCAGCACTCGGGAGGCAGAGGCAGGCGGATCTCTGTAAGTTCGAGACCAGCCTGGACTACCAAGCGAGTTCCAGGACAACCTCCAAAGCCACAGAGAAACCCTGTCTCGAAAAACCAAAAAAAAAACAAAAACCAATCATTATAATTCCTCTAAATGAGTCCTGCTGCTTCTCAAAATTTCCTTGTTGACAGTAGTTTTCAGCCATGCCACTGATAATATATTTGTGTGAAAAGATCTCTGTATGCTTTGTGTTTGTTTTGAAGTGGGGTCTTGTGTAGGACAACCTGGTCTCGAACTTAACATCTGTTCTCTGATGCTGGTGTCACCACAGATGCTCATCACTATGCCTGGTTCTTTGGTGTTTCTCCCTTTAAGAGTTGATGTTGGTTGAGCTTCTTGGGTCTATAATGTAAAGTTGTTCATAAAGTTTGGAAGGTATTTCATTTAGTATTTCTTCGTTCTCCCCTCTTTCTACTTTTGGACTCAGGTTATATATATGTGGGGAAATTTAATATTTTTCTGATGAGTTGCTGGCTGTTATTTGTTTTCATTCTTTTTAACCCCATCCTCAAGTTAGATTGCTTTTATTAATTTTTCCAGTTACTTGTTTCTTTGTTCCCTTCTTTCCAGTCTACCCCATTTTCCCCTTTCCCTCCTCTTTCTCTCTCCTCCATCTCTTTTTCTATTTCCCCCCACCTTTGAGACAGGTCTCACTTTATAGCCCAAGCTTGTTTTTAACTTATCATCCTCCTGCCTCAGCTTCCAAATTTCTAGGACCACAGTTGTGCATTACCATAATGCCCTG